CATAAATGAAAAGCATATAAATTTCATACCTAAGCACAAAATGTATGCAAAAATTCTGCATGCATGAGGACTAGTCAAACAAAATTATTTATTAATTAAGTTACAAAAGAAGTCTTAAAAATTCTAAAAAGCTATCACATGGAATATATTTTCTGACCAGAATGTGATAAAATTGAAATCTGGTAACAAAAGGATAACAAAATAAGCTACATATATCTGGAAAGTAAAATATATCACTAAAACATTCTTGTATTAAAGAGAAAATCTTGGAGCACCTGGGTGCCTCAGTCAGTTTAGCGTCTGCCTTTGGCTCAGGTCATGATCTCGGAGTCCTGGGACTGAGCCCAGGGTCAGGCTCCCTGCTCAGCAGGGATTCTGCTACTCTCTCTCTCTCTCTCTGCCCCTCACCCCTGCTCATTCTCTCTCGTTGTCTCTCTCTCAAATAAATAAATCAAATCTTAAAAAAAAAAAAAGAGGAAATCCCAAGAGAAATTATATTTAAAGGACAATGGCATTCTAAATGTAAAAAATTGTTAACATGTAGTTAAAAATCAATATTTAGAAAAAGCATAGTTTTCAATATATTTATCAGAATGCAGGAATTATAAAAAATAAATGTACTAACTGCAATTAATCAATACTGAAACAAGAAAGGAGGAAAAAATTAAGATATTGGTAGGAAATATTAAATATTTTTTAATTAAAAAATTAGGAATGTAAAGGTTGACAGACAAAAATTGTGGAAAAATAACTAAGAAAAAATATTCAAATAAAGAATGAAACAAGAATAACTAATTATAGATAGCAAAGATTTCAGTATTTTAAAAGCATATTATAAAAATGATAGAAAATATGAATGCTTAGAGGAAACATATAACTTTCTTGAGAAATGCAAAACACCAAAACTGGCCCAAGAAAAACCTGAACACTTGGAGAGAGTAATAGCTTTATAAAAGGTTTTTAAAATCTTCCTCCACAAAGGCACAGATGGTTTTACAGCTGAGTAATAATAAACTTCTAGGGAACAGAAATTTCTATTTTATGCAAGTCATTAAGTCTCTCTTAAAGTCATTTCTGAAAATAGAAAAATAGAGAAAACTTCTTAACTTATAGTGAAGTTAATACAACCTTTGTGGCAGCTTTTGATTAATCCACTCTAGTGAGATGTTCTGTTACTTATAGGAGGGATGCTTGTGTAACTAATAGAAAAAAAGACTTGAATTAAACAGATACATTCCATAAACTTGGATTAAAAGAGTCACTGTGATAAAAATGCCAGCTCTCTGCAAGTTAATTTAGTAGTTTAATGTAATTACAATAAAAATGCAAAGAAGTTTTTCCAAGGGAATGAATAAAGTGATTCAAATGTTTTCTTGAATAGGTTGAACACTATAGGAATTTTTGAAGAGTTAAATGAATCTGATTTATTCTGTCAATGTTTCATGTATATTCTAACAGCATTGCATCAAAGAACGAGAAAACAGAACAGAATATAAAGGCTAAAAGCAGTCCAGAGTGGAAAGGCACCAGTTCTGTAGATAATAATGCTGGCCTTCCAAGCAGAGGGAAATACAGAAATGAGCATTTAATAAAAGTGCTATCTTGTCAACTCCTTGGAGAAATTAAATTAGGCAGCTGTCTTGAATTATACAACAATTTCCAGTATGCTTTATGATATTCGTTCGCCAAATATTTAACCACTGACCATATGTCAAGAACTATGAGAAAACAAGATACAAGTGTGAGCCAAAACAGAGGACCTGAGAGCCTGGTAGGAAGATAGGTAATAGGCCAAAAGGAGGGCTGACTGAGATAATCTCGTCCAATGTACTTTTCTCAAAGAGCGCAACATGTACTGGTTTGACATAATGCAATTAAGAGAACACTCACTAATAGGAGACACTGTACAGAGTCTGACACACGTGACTCTCCATCTCCACCCCACATTTTGTGCATCATCTTGTGAAAAATATTTAGTGCTGTAAGTATTGGGGCATTTATGCTAACCATAGAAAGAAAGTTAAAACTGATAGTGGAAGTATACAAGATACAAATCCTCAGTGACAATCTCCTGAAGAAATAAATATGTAAATATGTTAAATATATAACAAAAGAGATGACAAGAATTAGAAGTGAAATAATGTGGTATTTGCTTGATATTGAGGTGAGGACGAACCTCCAACTCTTAAAAACCAAAGTTAAAAGAAAATTACAGATTTGGTTACTCAAGCTAAAAATAAATCAGCTCTGTTAGATATACAATGGGTCCAGATCGTGCAGGGGCCTACAGCAAAGTCAGCCATCATTTTCTGTAAAAAGCCAGATAGCAAATAATTTAGGATTTGCAGGTCACATGGTCTTCATGCAACTACTTGACTTGGCTATTACTGGAGCATGAAAGCAGCCACAAACAATAAACAAGCAGATGTCTGTGGCGATGTCGAATACACCTTTATTACAACCAAAGGCATTGGGCTAGATTTGGCCAACAGGTCACAGTTTGCCAACCTCTAGGTCTAGACCCCACAATTGTCTACACAGTGTGTACACCTCAAACAGTATTTACAGAGTGCAGAGTCCTTAGCTCAATTCAGAAAATGGAGGATATAACCATATACTGTTTCTGCTTTTTATCCTCTTTAGCTTCCATAAAAGAATGTGGGCTCCACTTCCAGCTCAATTATCTGTCAAAAGGTAGGGCCATATCCATCTGGCTGTAATACAGGCTGTTGCCCGGATATACTGCTTTGACCTCACGGCCTCAAAGCTGGACTGAGAGTTACAACATTTGAGGAAGACTTTTTTAAAGAACAAGTCGTCCATCTATTCTTCTAGATAATCTGTATTCATGGGCCAAATCAGAGCTGCAGAGAAAAAGGTCCCTAGATTGCCTCTTCCTTGCACTCACTCACTTCCAGTAGAATTTTCTTTTTTGGCACCGCTCTTTGGTTTGAAGATACCAGTTAATGCAGAAAACCTTTGCAAGAACTAGCCCTAAGATAAGCACTGCCACTCCTACTGTAAGTGAATTCTGAGTTTTGCGATCATTATAGAACTTGTGCTTCCTTTGTCTCCAAGTGTTTGTATCTGATTCAGAACTAGGAATAGTCATAAATCATCTGGAAAACCCATGTATTTTGCCTCAAGAATTCTGTGAACTATACAAATGGAAATGGTTCAACCCGACAATTAATAACAGGTGGGAGAGAAATGGGCACTCGGAACATTGAGTGGCATAAATAAATTTCTCTATCACCAAGAAAAGCCATTCTGGTGGCAACTTGGCATTAAGTATCACAAGTCCCCCAAATACTCATATTCTTTGATCTAACAATTCCACGGTGAGAAATTATCCCAAGGATAAGTATACACATATCAGTTACAGTGTAACTGTAACTTAAGAATAATAATTTTTTAAGACCTGGAAACAATGGAAATGTTCTAAGACAAAAAATTAAGTAGATCAATGATAAGAGATCTCTATAGTAAATAAACATCATTTGCAGAAGAACATTTGATGACATGAGAAAATCCTATTAATTCATTTATACAGGTATCAAGAGTAGAAATTTAACCCAGCATGTATTGTATAATCCCAAATACCACAAAATTAGGCTCCTGAATGAGATTTTTGGCATTTATACAAATGTGCATTTTCCAAAATTCTATAATAAACCTGTTTTTTTTAAATAAAAATTTACACTTAAAAGTACATTCACTTTGATACTAGTCTTACAAGTATAAATTTATCATAAGGAATTAAAAAGGCAAGTCAAGGCACGTCAATATTAAGGTATGGTAGGTATAAGATCAGAGCATATAAAACTGAACTATTTACGGTACATCAAAATTAGAAATTATAAATGAAAATAAATTAGAAATCAGAAATAAAGTTAGAAATTACACATTCACAAGGATCAACCTCATTTTTCACATATAGGAGAACTTTTTCTTCCAAATGGTCAAGTCCCTAACAGGCTCGAAACCACAGAGCTTTAGTGCCTCGGGGTTATTGTGGGGCCGGGGTGGGGGGTGCGCTAAATAATGACACACTTGCCTTGACAATGAGGATGTTTCCTAAAACAAGGAAGAGTAAACTGTTTGGGGACCCATTCATCAGTTTTTCTGTTTTACATGCTGGAGTTCTGAGCAGTTAATCTAGAAGACGAATGTATGTGTTATCTGCACCTATCTGCCCTTTGGGGATCCTTACTTGGCCCTTTTCTGATAGTTGCTGCCTTGGGAGACTGACCTCTTCACACTCCTCCTGGGTTTGGCTGATCGATAGGAAGCATTCAGAGGAGGAGAGAAGGGGCTGAGTGTCTATCACCCTTGTCTCCAAATGTCGTTTTTAGCAGTGGCTAGATCTTATAAAGATGCCCTTGTTTGGGAGGAGTGGGAGAGGAGAGGGACGAATCTCTGTTCCTCTTTACCCATCAAGGCCTTCTTTCAGTTGGAAGTTGGAACAACTTCCTGCTGTTACCAGTCCCTGTGCACCTCACTATCCCTGGGGGAGTTCTAGTGACTCTGCTCAAATTTCATTCATTAAACTTTAATTTCTTCAATTAAACTACTTAGGTATGTCATTTGATTCCTTTTGGGATCTTGTCTATTTTAGGAAAAGAAAAAAAAAAACCTTTCTAAGAAATTACTGCTTTAGAGGAAAGATTATCGTCAGGTCCCCCAAATTCTGTAATACTGAAAAAATAAAACCTGAACTTACCACGGAAACTGCACATTTAAGCTACTGCTTGAAAATATGGAAGAACAGACCAGTCATAAGCTATCACTACACAAATAACAAGCATTTAAAAATTAATGGTTATGGAATGAGATCTACTTAAATTTTACCTTGAAATTCAATGAAATTCAACACAATCTGTTATCCAAAGGCTTTCTTTTGAAAGCTGATTCTTCTCAATACATTTTTCAAACCAAAATATAGATGTAATGATGAAATGGAAAGGTATAGAAAAATATTTTGCAGATCAGCAACTTACCTCTTTGAACTTGTGACTGAGCTTGCTTGTGTCCAGGTCTGATGGGGAAAACATATCCTCATTTTCAGGCAGCTCAAAGACTTCAATGGCCATGTCACCGCCAGGAAGAACAGGTCCTACTTCATCCTCCTCTTCATCTGTGGCATATTCTCCTGTCTGAAAGGAAGGGGATTTCAGAGATCCAGCTGTCCTTAGCCCAGGGAGAAGTAGGTTATTTGAAAATATTTTATGAAAGAGAAATAAAATATGTCACCAAATGGTGAAGTGTAAGTAGGCTTTTAAGTCAAGCATGCTTCATGCAGCCAATGTTATAAACAAATGTTAGTTCAAAGATCCAAAGTGACATGTCTGTGCCATATGTGAGTGCCTTCCTAAAAATCTAATAGCATCAGCAGCATCTTTAGTATAGCAACAAAAGTTGTCTTCCATCTAAGTATGTGATGGTTTTGCAAAATAAAATTATACTGCTAGGGGAAATAAGTAATTCCTGTAAATCCCCACCACTGTGTGAATAAGTCACCCAATATTGAGAGCAGGGAAGAAGGAAGGGGAGATCAAAAGATTCGCAGAGCTGGAAGGGACCTTAATTCAAGCCTTATGAAGGTTTAGCAGATGGATTCTCCTAAGCTTCAGAGTTCAATCAGCTCTGTTTTCTTTGCTAACTAATGTGTTGGTTATCCAGTGACCTAAAGGACAACCAGAGACTGCTAACTTACAGCCCGCAGAGGTGTACTGCTTTGCCTGCACAGCATTCTGATAAATCCTAGTATTTTGTTGATGTTAAATAAAAAATTCACATGAGATTCCAGATCCCCAGTTTTTCTTCCGAAAGCTAAAGATCTGGTATTATGGGTATGTTGTGACGTGAAAACAACGGGCTAGTCAGCAGTGGTTGCCCCTTTGGGATGGGTCACACACCTTCAAATACACCAGAACTTTCCTAACTCCACACTGTTGTACGCTGTTAGCTTCACTTCTTCATGGTACCTACATGCCCCTGCAGCTCCATGAGTTTGTGGCCCCTGGAATCAATGTTCCTCCATACCACTAACTTCCTTAACCATATTAGAAAGTAGTCCTGTCCTGGCAGCACCAAGCTATGAGGCTCTAATTTAAAATAACTGTTGGAAATCTACACCTTATGACATAATTTAAAGACAAATCATGGATTCACATGGTCAAAAAACAAAGTTCATTTAATGTGTCCCTGTTGTGTCAGGTGGTATTATGGATAATATATAAAACAGACAGGAAATCATATTGCCTTTAAAAACACTTTCATAACGTGTGTGGACTGATCTATTCCTTTGATTAAATAGGCTCAGCATCTGATTGCTGGTTTGTTTTTTTGTTTCTTTTGGTTCTATACTATATTCTTCTTGCTAGAGCTGAAATTCTATTTCTTTCACTGCTTTGCACATGAAGAAAATCTGGTCGTTAACCTCAATGTCATAATTCCTAATGTCTGAAAGACCATTATTAAATTGCCATTCTGATTGCTCCTTTTCAAGTAAAATAATTCTGGTTTCCTCCTAGGTCTCATTCTCTGTCATCATCCTTGTGCCTCTGCTCAGACTTCTCTCCAAATTCTCTACACTTGTTTAAAAGGATGGAGCCCAGAAGTAGGCACAACTTCCAGTAAGGAATCTGAGGGTCGTTGACCCGGATGAAGGAACTGCCTCGGCATCTTTCAGACACTACTTCCTCATGTGAAGGCTAGTATCATGAAGACCTTGACTTTAGTGGCATTTGTGCTTAGCAGCAAGCTCAGTGTATCTCGGGGGTGAAAGAACCCCTCAGAAACCAGTCAGAAAACATGCAGACTCGAAACTCCATTCCAAGTGCCTCTGGCACTGACAGGAGAAGGTAGCTGAGTGGTAGGGGCCGCTGATTCTAGGCAGCTCCTACTTATTGGGATGATTAGATCCTATAAATCTTAGAAGAACCCTAATTCCAGATTTGGTATTACTTTTTGTGATATTCTGTAAATTAACTCATCTCCTATTTATATGTATGTTTAGAACCAATAGGTACTTTGCAAGTCCCAGGGCCATTAATTAATAGAAATGTAGTAAGGTTGGTAAGGACACAATCTCGATACCTTGCTAAAACTTCTGGTTTAGAGATATTAGACTGGGTGCTTGTTTTTAATCCGAATTACAACCAGCAGCAAAGCCATACCTTTATTATAAAGGTCTAAACCAGGTAGATTAAATTCACTTCCACATCATCAATTTGATGAATTTTCTGAATGACTCCATAAAATCTGAAGCTAAATTTAAAGTCTGATGACACTGTGGCACATTTTAAACATAAAATTTGATTTCCCTTTGCCGGTTTGAAAATAATTCTTCACTATGTGTAAGGGAAGGAATATAAACATGTGCCCAGAATGGGGCCTGACATATAGGATCTCAACAAATATTTTTAAAAGGATATATCCAAGAATGCCTATTACACTTGCTACTTGGTAATATCTATAACCTCCTAGGGAGGTTTTCAATGACATATGTTTTTTTAAAAAATGAACTGTAAAGGCATTTGTTAGGAAGACAGTATTCTGTCACTTTTATTTTTTAACACTTCTTACAGTGAGTAACAGGATTAGGGCATATACAAATATGTACAATATATGCAATTCTTATCTCTAAGTATAGTTCTGGCTTTGTCATCCATTTTAGTCTTCAAAATTACGTTCATAAATGTAAGTTATTAAGAAGTCTTCCTCTTGATTCATTTTTTTACTTTATCAATCCCTATCCTCAATATCCAAATTATCTGCAATTCTGTGAAATTCTTTCTTATCTTTCATTTCATCTTCCTACCTAATGATGCCTTCTCTTTCTAATTAGTTTTTAGAAGCATACTAAGGTCAAGATAACGTCTTTTAGTGTCTGGATTCTACTTATTACTTATTAGAGGTTCTGGATAGGGTGTTTAAAAACTACCATGCCAGGTCGTCTGAGTGGTGTATTTGGTTAAGTGTTTGAGCCTTGGTTTCAGCTCAGGTTGTGATCTCAATGTCCGTTCCAGGGTTCTGGGACTGAGTCCTGCATGGGGCTCTGCACTCAGCAAGGAGTCTACATGAGATTTTCTCTCCCTCCCCACCCGTTTCTCCCCCTCCTGCGCACTCTCTTTCTCTCTAATAAATAAATAAACATCTAAGAAAAATAAAATAAAAACCATCATGCCCAGTGGAATTTAAAAAACAGAACAAATGAGCAAGGGGAAAAAAAAAGAAAGAGAGAGAGAGAGAGGCAAACCAAGAAATTGACTCTTAACTTTATTTAATAGAGAACAAAGCACTGGTTACCAGTGGGGAGTTGGTTAGGGAATGGGGTAAACAGGGGATGGAGACTAAGAATTGTACTTGGTGTGATGAGCACTGGGTGTTGTATGGAAGTGTTGAGTCACTCTATTGTACACCCAAATTAATATGATACTATATGTTAACTAACTGGAATTTAAATAAAAACTTAAAAAAAAAAACTTAAAAAATCTCTCTTGCTGATCATTTACCACTCCTAACATAAATAGCCTTTATAATAAAGGAAGCATTTACTATAGGACCTCATAAACATCTAGAAGTTAAAAAGTTACATTTAGTAGATTAAGAATAATGTGTTCTTTTGATTGTTCTATCTTTAATGAAAATGGACATCATTTTTATGGTTAATCTGAAAGTAAATTACATGGAGTGATAGGGTAGTAGAATTTCATAGACCTCAACATTAGATTGGACTGAATCTGATGTTTACAGAGGAAGATGGAAAATATTGCATCAAAAAAAAAAAAATGCCACAACAAAGTGTTTCCACTGGTATCCATCTTCTTCTCTTTTATTTCTGGCCAGATTCAGTATCTTTCAAGTAAACAGAGACTCTTGAATTTTGTCCCAACCTGAAAATCCATTTTAAAGGAAGGGAGAATAGTTCTTATTATAAGAATTGACAGAGATAGTAAGGGTTCCTTGTTCACAACTCATCTACCTTCTTGATTAATATCTTACACCTTTTTATTGCTTTCCCAAGGGTGCAAAAAAATGAATAGCGATTCCTTTGTAACTTACTATGTGCCCAACGTTACATTCTGCAAAGACTGTATGATGTAGGTATTACTATGCCATTGTAATTAGAGGAAACTGAGACTCAAGGGACTCTACCCAATGTCAGGCAAATAGTTATGTTGTCGAAGGTAACATATTCCAAAGCCCATGTCCTTTCTTCTATACTACGCTGCATGTAGTCTACAGAAAGTAAAGTTTTAGAAGATAAAAGATGGGAATACATTCCTTTCATATTTCCCTAGCCAAAAATGTTGGTGAGTAATCCTGTTGTGCTGAAATTCACCTTCCGTATCTTCAAGCGTTTTCATTCAATTCACTCTGAAGACTTCCACCTGTCTCTAGAGACTTCCTCTTCTTTTCTCTCATAACGGGCTCACCCTGGGCAAGTACACAGAAGTCTCCTTCAAAAGGTTTGGCTTACCGGCCTGCTGACTTACGTTTCATGCCCTCTTTCTTATATAAACCAGAATCACAGCATACAACCTATAGAATTACTGCCGGGTGTTAAAATGGATGGAAAAGATACTTGCAAGGAAAATGAATGCAAAATTCCTCTAGATGTGTATGGTCTGTCTCTTTTATGTTTCCTTCTCATACCTAATTTTCCTGAGCTACCAATCTATATTGACTCTTCCCAGAACATTTCATCTCATTTTCATGGACACAACTTCCTTTATACTCATATGACATTGGAGCACTTAGTATTTTAATAAAACACGTAATTACAAGAATAATAAGTACAGCTGACAGGTTCTGCCTCTTAGTAAATCTCTTAACTTTTGACTGGTGGGAACAAACGCATGAGACATTCTTGAGATTTGAGCACTCAGGAAAGCTGCAGATCTCAGTTTAGGCTTTAGAGAAGGAAGGGACATTATCTGTTATACTGGTGAGCTGCTTAAGTGGAGGCCAACTAAACAATCTTGATTTTGAAGTCACGTAGCCCTGGATTCAAAACCTAGCTCTAAGATGTGAGCAAAGTTGGCTTTCAGATCTAAGTTTCAAAGTCCTCGTCTATAAACTGAGAACAAAAATACTCCCTTAGGATATATTACAAGGTTGTCATGAGATTAAGTTAGGGGTGTCTCTA